TATATATATATATATATGCTTCTTGTGTTCTATGTTCAGCTTGTTCAATATTACTTAACCTGAATGAGACCATCAGTAGAGATGACAATGAACAAGTCTAGCATAACCTCTGATTTATGCTCATCAGTATCTGATGCTTCAGCAGCTTATTGATCTGCTATGTATCGCTGTATCTGGTTCAGAAAATCAAATTAACAAAGAACCAACCTGTAAAACCAGAGTCCAGGTTAGCAGCTGATACAGTAGAATCACAAACATTAAACTGAATTGAGCAGAGTGGTGGCTACATTGAGGGTTAGAGCCAGGGGAAGAAGCAGTGGGCAAAGGTTCAGGCAGCACGTCAAAGACTAGGCACTCTATTGATTCTAAAACATTAATCTGGAGGTGTTTCAGGATATTTATATTTTCACTGTAAATTTTGAACTGAACTAACTGAGCAATAGGACAGGATTGATACAATTGCAGATTGTAGCATTTCTGTTGCTGGGACAGAGATGCTAATTGAGAATGTGCTTGGTTTGCAGCTTGTCTAGTGCCATTATCACCTTTGGAAGTGCAGGGATCCCACAAACAGGAGCTGTGACCACGATCCTGATTCTGACAGCTGTGGGACTGCCTGCAGAGGATGCTGCCATTCTGGTTGGGGTGGAGTGGATTCTGTAGGTTCAACTTGATTCTCAAAGCCTGCTACTTGTGTTTAAAGAGTACTTTCACCATCAAACTGTGGAGTCACTTTGGATGGAGTTATACTGCTCTGCTATCAGACAGCTTGAAATTATTCTTAAAAAGGGCATGATTTTTAACTTGCATAATAAACTAATGTCTAGGATCACCTACCAGTGGAGAAAGCCTGAGGAGAGCTTGTGTAGTAATGATTGATAAATCTACATTTGGAGAATGATGTCAACATCAGTCTGAACTGTAGAAGACCTGGTGCATCTGGTTGTTGTAGACTGAGGCAAAGAAAACCTTCAAGAAAAACATAGTAGAGTCTGACAGCATGTTTGTTCTCTTCTGTGCCCTTCAGAGACCATTTCATCACCGTGGTGAATGTGCTGGTAAATGTCTTTGGTGTTGTTATCACCAACCATATGTGGCATGACGACCTAATAAGCCTGGACAAAATACCAAGGTAAATGAAATCATTAAAATGATGTGTTCATGTGCAAAGACACAATGTTGCCAAAAGTAACCTAGTTTCACCCGGGATGATACGATGTTAGTAAGCAACGAGCAGGTTGCACTTTTTTCTGCTGTGACAGGACTCCAGATTCAGGAAAAAGCAGAAGGGTTGATCTCTATAAATATGTGCATGAAAAGTGCTGTGACAACGGAACAATTACAATCAAACACTGATCCCCAGATGCTGGGTGCATATCTGTTTTATGCCGGTTGCTTTTTCTGCTGAGAGAGCTAACGGTTGTGGCTGTATAGGCTGTGTACCTGTCACCTGACGGCAATGTCAGGCTGACATTCTCAGCACATCTCTCTCTCATGGTCCTGAGTGCACCAATGGTAGAGGAGCTGAACTGCTTCTTTGCTCTCTGTGAAACCTGTCAGCAGTTCTCTTCTGCTCCAGCCTTGCACAGCCCCAGCTGGTTTCTATATCACTTCACTCTCTGGACATGAGCATGATGTCAGACTAGTGGTCCTGGCAGCGAACCACATCATTTTTTTTTACCATTTCAAGATCCCAACCCTGTGGGAACAGTTGGAAAATGGCTTCTTCCTGTTAGCACATGATTGAGCACCAGTACACAAACCAGTGTCCAGAACATGTATTATTGCATTTTGCACGGAAGAACTAAGGAAAAGAAATCTTGAATGTAGATTGTTACAAGTCATTTACACTAAGTGGTAAAACAAGGGGTATTTTAGTCACTTCTTGTCTTGAACTTTATTGACCATGTTTTCCATTTTACCTGTTAGCGATGATAGGATTCGTTCCATCAAGGAGATCGAGCTGGACTTATCCTTTTTGGACTCTGATGAAGAGTTCATTCCCTCCGTTTCCTCCTCCGCCTCAGAATCCAATTCACCCCGAAGATGGGATCTTCTCAGCATAGAAACACCAACAAGCTGAAACCTCTGGACAGGGATGTCACCATCCTGGGGTGTCGGAGCTGATCTTTTCCTTGTTTGCCGATATTTATTATCGGTAGAATGGGGCTATATCATTTTATTTATCTGTATTTAGTTTCTTATTTATTTTAGTTTTTGAAACTTTTAAATTATTGATTTGTGTAATAATATTTTATTGATGTGTAAGTTGTTAATATCTACATAATAAAAGTATTGTTATGTGAATATAATTCATCTATTCTATTATACATTTTATTTCCGTTATTTTTCCTTTTGCATGTTATGTATTATTATTTTTATTTTTTTTTTATCTTTCTCCTTCGACAATAGAAATATTTGTCCAGTGTTTCCTCACTAATCAACATGAACTGCCACAGTTTCTCATCTTCTATAATCGATTTTCTCCCACTTCCAGACCAACCTTGTTTTTTGAGGTTTGTTTTGTCTGTTTACTTGATTTGATCATATGGATCATTTCACTGTGTGTCTCCAAGTGATTAAATGTAATTACAACAGTAATTTTGTATTGCACTTGAGTGTATGACACGTACTCTGTATACAAAGTTTGACTGATTGATTGGTACAACAATACTTTGTAAATCAATAAGGTTCTGTATGTTGCATAACCAGGTTTACTGCTTCAGACTGAAAAAAATAACTGTAAAAAAGTTATTTCTATGAATGACCTTATGAACATTGCATGAAATCATTTTGTGATAAAAGCATTTCATATCAGTCGATGTCCATAATTATTGTTAATCTTTTGTTTTATTTATCTGAAATACTGCCAAACTGGTGGCGTGACTTATGCAGAGTTTTCACTTCACACTGTTTATTTTTAAGCAGTTAAAAGGCAAAGTGGTGAATCCTTAAACTACTGCTGGGCAAATTACTAAACAGGTTGTTGCTGGGTAACCAAAGAGGGAGTAAGTTAGTTGATGTAACAACATTTCTTAGCTGGCCGTGAGAAGTTGAGTAGGGAGTCTTTCTTGTGGTAATATTATTAGAAATGCTTTTGCTTTTTAATTTAAAAAATAAATAACATTGTTTTCATTATCTGAACCAAAATCCATGTCTCTAGGGAAACCAGGCATAAAAATATTTCTGTGAACTAAGAAATTAACAAATCAACTCAACGGAAACATGATTGTTAGCACATCAAATTACTGTAAAACACATTATATACTTCTTAAAATATTTCATGTTCACATTATTACAAGCTCTATAATACAGAAAGCTACAAATATCTTCCCAGATCGCTACAAGAGGTCTTTCCTGCCAACAGCCATCACCATCTACAATAACTCTTTGAAGAACTTGAATTAATATGAGTAACAACATATTAATGAAGTATTTTTGAATTTGAAGTAGTTATTTATTTTACCAAGGTATCCGTAGAGACTGAAAATGCTTTGCAGGGCATTTTTTGAAAAGTGGGTCAAATGTCTTGAACAGCTGGGAGTAACTGGTCCATCTGACTGGACCACAGAAACACAAATACAATGAGAGAAAACCTACTTCAGGTATTTTGCTTACTTGGAGTTGCCTTGGGTAAGTATTTACTTCTTTTCTACTGGTGATTTTTATTTTTTTTATTTTATTGATTTATCTTTGTAGTGTAATTCTGCTTGATGAGATAGTGGTTAGCGGTTAAACAGATGTGCTTAAGCGGAGTTTTATCTAAATGTGAGTTTTAATACACAGATGAAATGTTTAATTTTTTAAAAGTATTTTCTCTTAATGCTATTGAAATGCAGCTTAATACACTACACCAAACCACTTCATGTCAAATTTTCTGATGACACAGCTATTCTCTGCCTCATTTCAGACACATCACATTTAACCACCGACAGCAGATTAAAAACTGTCTTCAGTGTTGTGAGGAACATTTTCTGATCCTTAACATCCAAATATCACAGGAGCCTTGTGGAGATTTGGATTTTGTGTTACTTTTAGCTCTCTTGTGTGTTGTGTTTTCCCATTTACTGCTTAATTGATTCCACCGTTGTCTTCTTGATGGTAACAGCTGTGCCTCGTTTTCTGATTATGCTGCGTAGGTATTTAGTCTTTCATTTCTTTATCCTGAGTTGTGGGTTTCTTGTCGATGCTTACGGTTATTTGGGTTACTAGAGCTACCTGTTCTAGTAACAGGTGTCTGTTTGAAATCCCACTTGAAGTACTAAAAACGCTGCGTTTCCTCACCTCTACCAGCTGTGTGAGTGGTGGCATTCTTCTCAACTAGAGAAATCATGACAAACCTATTTTTGATCTATTCTTTAGAATACAAATTGACAACAAACTCTCGTGGACTGCTCAGGTTGACTCAGTCAGTAACAGGGTCCTGTAGCAACTACACTTTCTGTGCAGGTTGAGGGCCTCTTGTGTCAGTCAAAAAATGATGTTGCTCTTTCAACATACTGAAATAGAGAAAGCACCATTAACTCAGTGATTCTCGAGAATGGGGACAAAATGGGTTTAAATTTTCCCTTTTTTTAAAATTATTTCTCAACCTTATGTATGCAAATATGACAATGTTTTTGAAATGTAAAGACGCTGAGGTGCAGGCTCCCATTTGCAACATTTTTTTAAAAATTACATTTTCAATCGACCTGACCCAGGTCTTTGTCATCACCATCTGACAAAAAATAAATATAAAATAATTTTTATTATACCCTATGAGTGATATTTTTACTCAGTCTTAGACAAATGCTTCTCAAGAAACAAAAGAAATATTTAAAACAAAAAGACCATCTGACGGAGTTGACACAGAACTTAAGGTGGTGACAAACTAGTGAGTAAAAAGAAATACTTGATACATATGAAGTAATGCAATTTATGTAAAACACATTAAAATGAATTAATTGCATATTTAAGTGAGATTTGACAACAATTTCACAGAGTCTTAAAAACTCTGATGGAGTTGACATCTGACAGAGTTGACAAAAAGCCAAACTACCTCAATTTAAATGATATTCTGAAGGAGGTAATATTGTAGATCATCAGGTCCATGAAATCTTTCCAGTTTACCAAAATTAAGCTTTTAAATTTCATCAACGTTTTGTAAATTATCAGTTGGAGTTGGCACATCATGGTTATGACGAACAATTTAGGAATAAAACAGAAGAAAATCTAAAGAATAACATAAGCTAACCAGAGCTAATTAGCCCTCTTAGCAAAGGAAGAGAAAGGAAGAGGTTATGGGGTCCTCAGAAGTTCTGGTGCCCCCCAATAATGCCTGATTTTTTTTTTTTTACATTCTTTTTATGTCTGACGGTGTTGACAAAAACTAGGGACAAATTTCAGTGGAGTTGGAAAATATATAAAAATGATTTTTAATTCAATTTTTATTGATACTTTTATAATTATTTATATGACTACTTATACTTAATTGTCATAATATATAATTTTAGTATTTCTTTAATTGTTTTAAACTATTATAATGTGTTGAGTTCCTGGGCTTTTACAGGCATCATCCACCAACTACAATGTTTAAAATAAAAAAAAATATTCAGCAAACACAAGGAAAATATACATTGTTGTGCTCACATGACCCAGGTTAGTTCAGTCAGATATTTGAAAAAATATATATTTTGTGTATATTTTATTCAGGCTGCACAGTGGTGCAGTTGGTAGAGCTGTTGCCTTGCAGCAAGAAGGTTCTGGGTTTGATTCCCAGCACTGGTCTTTCTGCATGTTCTCCCTGTGCATGCGTGGGTTTTCTCCGGGTACTCCAGTTTCCTCCCACAGTCCAAAAACATTGGCCTCTCCAAATTGTCCCTAGGTATGAATTTGTGTGTCTCTGTGTTGCCCTGCGACAGACTGGCGACCTGTCCAGGTTGTACCCCGCCTTTCGCCCGGAACGTTAGCTGGAGATAGGCACCAGCAACCCTCCTGACCCCACTGACGGACAAGGGTGTAAAGAAAATGGATGGATGGATGTTTTATTCAAATTTTGTGCTTTATCCATAAGACCTGTTTTGTCCCTATACTCAAGAATCACTGAGCTGCATCATTAGGTTCAGCATTTCTGCCTGGATTTGGAACCTCTGTCTAAATGAAGGCTAACCCCACTTGTCTCACATAAAGCAATTTCCCCTTGGGGATCAATAAAATATATTTTATTCTGTTTTGTAAACCGCTATGAACTGCTGCTACTGGGGGTCAAGCAGTATGCTTCACTTCAGAACATTTTCAATTAAACTATAATCACACGGGCTCAGAAAATAATTTCAAACCTCCCTCATATTCTCCATTCAGAGTATCAGTTTCTTAACTCTGTCTAAAACAGTGTTTCTCAAACCTGGTCCTCACCGCCCCCCTGCTCTGCATGTTTTAGATGTGCCTCTATTCCAGAACAGCTGATTCAAATGATTGCATGACCATCAAGTACTGCAGAAGCCTGTTAATCACCCAGAGATACAATTCATGTGTGTGGCAGAAGGGAAATACCTAAAACATGCAGGACAGGGGGCAGTGAGGACCAGGGTTGAGAAACACTGGTCTAAAAGATCCTGCATGTCAACTGAACAGCTGCAAGGACTTAATCCAGGGGTCCCCAATCTTTTTCCTGCGAGGGCCACATAGCTGTTCCTTTCTCTGGTCGAGGGCCGGTCTGAGTTTTTGGAGAAAGAAACCTTAAAGAATTCTTGTCGACGGGGAGGGGGGGGGGGGGGGGCTGCCCTGTCTCCTGGTGGATTAGCTCAGAGGATAAAATCAGCTTCACTCTGTCATATAGGCCCATCATTGATCTCTCAATATTGAGGAAATCAGGACCGATTTATTGGTGCACCAACACCAGCAATCCTTACATCATTTGATCTATTGGACATTTTTCATCGTGACTGTGAGACAGAAACTTGGCAGCAGCCGAGTGAATTCTTTCGCCTCAGTGACTTCGTCACGACAAGGTTTGTTTACGTCACCAAGTGCTGAGACTCGAGCTGTGGAGGGGTCTGGCAATGACCCACTGCGAGAACCGGAAGGTCTCACTGTGACATATGCCTGCCTTCCTCTCCTTTGGGCTGTCTACCTCTTTTAAGAAAGACTTTGCTGCTCTGATTGTCCATCTCTAAGCCCTCTCACCGAATGTCATACGGATTTTATCGTTCACGTTGATGATGCTGATCTCTCCTCCTCCAGTGTGTGTCCTTGGATCCACATCCAAGGACACACACTGGACCTTTTAAGCTGCTCTGTCTGGATTTACTCCTCTGAACTTCTCCTGATGATCTTCCTTTTACTGATTATTTGCTGCTCTCTTTTAATGTTAAACTCCATTGCTCTTCCTCCAAACTTTTATGGCCCCACTCTTTCTGTTATATTAAAAATTTTTGTTTTATCACACATTGCTGACCATTTCACCATTGTTCATACTTCTGACCCAGATGACCTTCTTTGCATCCGTAATAATGGCCTCACCAATATCCTTGATTTCCTCAATCCCTTGAAAACCCAGCCAGTGCACCTTGGTACACTCCTGAACTTTGTTCCAGGTTCTTTCTATAAACAATAACCTTGGCCCCATCTCTTCTTCATGCATGACTGTTGAACTTCTGTCCCCTCCGCTGCTGACATTGCTGACGCTTTTTGCCAGTGTAAACCGTCTTCCAGCCAGTCCAAACTTTTTCCTACAGTTCTCGTCAAACCCTGTCTCAATTCTCTGCTTCCTATCATTACTAACATCATCCATTCCTCTCTGTCCTCTGGTATCATCCCAGCGGAAGCTAGCGCAGAAACACAAACCAAACATCCAATGGAAGGAATCCAGCAAGGAGACACGAAGTGAACACAAATGGAACGAGAAAGTAACAGAGAAGTGACAAGAGGACCAGGGGTCGGGTCACAGGGGTAGCAGCTTAAGATGGGAGGACGAGACTTCCCTCTCCCCTGCTACTTGTTCCAGCCACAGGATCCCAAGGCGTTCCCAGGCCAGCCGAGAAACATAGTCCCTCCAGCGTGTCCTGGGTCTTCCCCAGGGCCTCCTTCCGGTGGGACGTGCCCGGAAAACCTCAGCAGGGAGGCGTCCAGGAGGCATCTTAACCATATGCCCAAGCCCCCTCAACTGACTCCTCTCGATGTGAAGGAACAGCAACTCTACTCTGAATCCCTGCCGGATGACCGAGCTCCTCACCCTACCTCTAAGGAGAACGACCACGCTGCAGCAAACAGAAAGGGGCGGGGACGGACCACTGTCAGTCTCATACCTTATTTGGAAATGGGACCATTGCAATCTGGAAGTGAAGGGCGCGCTATTTCCTATACCTCCGTTTTTATTTTCTTTTGAAATCTGTGATATGTTTTCACCTTTAGGAAGGAGTTTCACTCTCAGAATGTATTTGAACTTCTCTCTTTTATTTACTTCACGGTAGCTCACAGTTTTTAGCAAATTCTGTAGCTTTCGGTGTACTTCTAAATCTGCTCCTTAGTCGCATCTTTTCGGGGTCCATCGCTGCCTCTAGTGGCGTGGGGGTGGTAACACAACCAATATAATTACATTACTAAATCAGAATACCACAAAGTCTTTATTATTTACTATTAATTCTGGCATTACTGGCACCGTAAAAGACAAATTTCCTCACAAAACAACATATTTTTTCATTTTCTTATGGAAGTAGAGCTAATTAAATGAGATAAACAAGAACTGAAAGTGATTCCAGTTTCACTTAATGGCCAACCTGTTGAAACTGTGGCAAATTTTAAATACCTCGAGTCGTTCCTGGACAGTCAGCTCAACTTTGCTGAAAACACTGACTATATTTTTAAGAACTATTCTCAGACACTCTACTTTTTATGAAGACCTTAGGGTTACCCAGCTTGAGGTTGTGTACAACCTCTAGTTAGGTAGAGGTTGTTGAGTTAAATGTTAAAACTAAACATTCTAACTTGAGTTTTAACTCAATTCAAGTTGAAACAACATTTTAACTCAAGTTTTAACATTTTATCTCCTTGGCTGATTTGGTCACATGAGCTGCAGACTAACAGAATCTTTTAAGAATACTTTCAATGGCAGGAATAACAGCAGGTAAATAGTGGTAAAACCTAAAACAACTCTGTCTGAACTGTTTGCTGAAAGAACATGAAAGATGGCAAGAAATATTTTAGCAGAGAACGTCCATTCTCATTATTCATCAGTTTGAACCTTTGAGCTCATGAAGGTGTTACTGTGTCCCTCTGGTAACTAGGAACATCTATTAGATGTCATTTATTGACATTGCAATAATTATTCTTTACAAAACTAAATAACATTTACCTATAGCATGCTAAGTGTTTTGCTCTGTTCACAAATTGTTGATAATCAATCAATTAATTAAATCTTTATTCCAGACACAAAAAAGGTAAAAAGGTAAAAACAAGAGAAAATTAAAAATAAACATGACGTATTATTCACCGAGTCACAAATAAATGATGACGCCAATGATTCTATAATCTTGACAAGAGTCTCACTGTACTAAAAGCAGGATTTACTAAAATTGCAATTATATTATTGCATGACACCGATAATCTACACATGCATTTATACATAAGATTCCTGAGCACAGCTGCACATGTGGAAACAGCATTATGTACAAACATATGGCTAGCACTACTCCATCTAGGCACTTTGAGTAGAAGCCTCATGCCATCATTGTATACCACATAAAGTTTCTGCAGACTACTTTTTTTGTATCGTCGCCACAGATGGGCCGTGTAATAATGTGATTCATGAATATGATTTATCGATTTAGAGTCAAAGGAAAATGTCCTCGCTGATTGATTAATTTCATCTTATTTTTTTCCTATATATAAGACTCTACCAACAAAAAGTTTCTCAATAATATACATGGCACTGTAAAAACAAAATATTTTTTGCTAATATCTGTTTAACAGCCCTGGTTGTAACAACCTGGGTTATTATTCTTCTGTACCTAATTCATTAGTTTGTTATTGACTTTTGCTCAATTAAATTTCTTATGTATTCACTGTGAATGGTATTTTTATTATAGTTGATCATGTTGTTTTTCATGTCTCCTTTTGTCTTTTGTTCCTTCTATAATTGATGGAGATATATAGATATTGTTTATAATGCATAAAAATATTGTCATTTAATTAGCTCTACATCCTTAGGAAAATGAAAAAAATATGTTGTTTTATAAGATAATTTATTTTTTACTGTTCCAGTCATGCCAAATTAATATAAAATAATAAATACGTTGCGGTATTCTGGTTTAGTAATGCAAGTATATAAGTTGTGTTACCACCCTCACGCCACTAGAGGCAGTAGCAAGCCCGAAAAGATGCGACTAAGGAGCAGATTTAGAAGTAAACCGAAAGCTACAGAATTTGCTAAAAACTGTGAGCTGCGCTAAAGTAAATAAAAGGATAAAAGAAAGAAGTTCAAATACACTCTGAGATTGAAACTCCTTCCTAAAGGTGAAAATATATCCCAGATTTCAAAAGAAAATAAAAACGAAAGTATAGGAAATAGCGCCCCCTTCACTTCCGGATTGCAATGGTCCCGTTTCCAAATAAGGTATGAGACTGTCAGTGGTCCGTACTAGCGGAACAAGTCAGCGTCGGGCCGGGTGGCGGGGCCAATGACCGGGCCCCTCACGTGTATCACTTGTGTTGCCTGAAACTGTTGAGCGGGGTGGGAAGGGGGGGGGCGCTTTGGGCCGCGTTTGTCGTTTGATTTTTACTCAGGAAGCACATTGGCTAGACCTTGAATGAAACGGTCACTGGGACTGACTACTATATATTCCATTGAGGGGTAACTTGCAGTATTCTCGTTCACTGGGGTAAACCTGGCGCCTCTCACTTTGGGCAACTCCAGAGTGGAATGAATGTCCAGGCCTTCTCAAGGAGACTGGTTCCAGAACCAGAGCCATGCTTTGAGGTGAGACCAACTATTTCTAGCCAGAACCTCTCCGCCTCACACACTAGTTCCCACCAGAGAGGTGACATTCCACGACCCAAGAGCCAGCTTCTGCAACTGAGGATTGGACCGCCAGGGTCCCCTCCCTCGGCCACCACCCATCCCACATTGCACCCAATCCCTTTGGGCCCTCTCACAGGTGGTGGGCCCATGGGAGGGGGTCCCATGTCTCCTCTTCGGGCTGAGCCCGGCTGGGCTCCATGGGTAGAAGCCCGGCCACCAGTCGCTCGCCATCGTGCCCCATCTCCAGGCCTGGCTTCAGAGTGGCTCCCCAGAGAGGGAACGCCAAATCCAAAGTTCTCGTCCATCAAAAGGGTCTTCAGGCTGCACTTTGTCTGGTCCCTCACCTAGGACCTGTCTGCCTTGGGTGACACAACCATGGGCAGAAAGCCCAAGACAGCATAGCTCCTAGGATCATTGGACACTCAAACCCCTCCACCACGATAAGATGGCAGCCCAAGGAGAGGGAACCAGGGAGGTGTGAAGTTTTAAAAAATATATACTTATTGTTATGGGAGTTTGTTGATCCTTTCATCTTTTAATCTGTTTTATATCATGATTGTGGAAGCTGTTTATATTGTCCCCAGCATTTCCATTTATGAAATAGCAGTATTAAACAAAAGATTGTAGGGGGAGTTGTTCTGCAGTCATTTCATCGTGAACCATTGTATCACCATGGCAACATGGCATTTTGTTACTCTGTGGTTAGTTTTATTGTGTGGTTCGTTAACATAGATGTAAAATGTTAAAATTTGAAATTTACATGTGATCTTGGATGCATTAAAGTGAAGCTCAGTAAATAAGGAGATTACTGAAAATTTATTTTTATTTCAGTAGCTCAGTTCACAAACTGATGGATGGTTTGTAGATGTTTGTTTTTACAGTGAAAACACAATATTTAACAAATTATTACAACACATATAACTTTTGAATATTCAGCATTAGGGTGCAATGTTGCCTATAGACAAACTGAAAAAATATAGAAAATATGTCTGCAAAATGTATCATTTACTATTTTTATGAAGGACTCCCATTTACTTCTTAAGGTTATTACATGATGAAGTTTGTTTTTTTTTCATATCTATTTTGTATGAATGTTTTTTGTTGTTTTTTTGTTTGTTTTTTTGCCCTACAGGGTTTGGCATTGGGTTTCTGCTGAGGGCTACAACTCTTGTAACTGAAGAATTGAAAGAGTGGATCAAAGTACCAGGGGAAATGCTTATCAACATGCTTAAGATGTTTGCTGTATCCCTCATTGTGACAAGCGTGGTTGCAGGCAAACTAAATATGAATTCAGATACTTGATATATTTAACTTATAATTGTTATAGAGATAGATTGAAAAGATGCTCACTCATCTTTTTGAGGATATTTTTGTATATATGTTGATTAAAACATGCGATTATATGCTCTCTTTTCTCAGGAGTAACTGGATTAAACACCAGAGTGTCCAGGAAAACAGCTATCATCACAGGGACCTTCGTCTGTGGCTCTACCTCAATAGCCGTAATTCTCGGTAAATTTATCATGGGTAGCAGATTTTAAGATAGATTTATGAAGACCGCTATTGTTTGTTCTGTGTTATTGCTTTTGACATCCTGCCTGATACTTTGTGTTGCAGGAATGTTTCTGGCTCTCACAATCAAGCCTGGTGTGTTAGAACATGACTTACGCAATGACGAAGGGGGTGTGTCAACCTTTGTCTTGCATGTGATCTTGCAGGATCTTATAAGGTGAGACAAAATTCATGATTTCCTGTAATGTGTTCCAGTACAGAAAAGATCAAATAGATATTTTATCATCTTTGATTACCATCAGTTAAACTATCTGTCAGGACTCTGGATTTTTGGGTTTGGTTTTGATCTTATTTATCATTATGTTTTAGTTCATTTTAGGTTAGCCCTTCACGGTCATTTCACATTTATTATTTGAGGTTATTTAGTGTGATTACAATTGCCTTGTTGTTTTCCTTATCATCCCTTCATAGTGTTTCTAGTTAGGTATATTTTTTTCTTAGGTTCTGTTTTTCTTGTATCTCTGAGTCTACGTCAAGCTTCTTTAGTGATTTTAGTTTATTTGTATTTAATCATTATAGTTCCCTCTGTAGTGTTTCTAGATCTTATTTTGTCACTTTATGGTTTTTTAGTCTTTCTTTAGTAATTCTAGTTAGGCTATCTCTTTGCTCAGATCTTCTAGTTTCTATAGCTCTCTGTCCCCTAGTTCTTATTGTTAGATCAGCCTTCTTTCTGTTTATGTTTGTCCCTCCTGTCTTTTTGTCTTCTAGTTTATCAGGTTTTCTTTGGTATTAGTGTTTTCTTTCGTTTTAGAGATATTTTCAGGTCCCTGGTGTTTCCTCTGTTTTTTCCCCAGTTTAACTCCTTAGCTTCCTCGTGTCATCTTCTCCCCTCCCATCAGCTAGCTCCTGTGAAAACTATTCACACCTGCAACCAGTTATCTCATCTTGTTAGGTCCATTGTTCCACTTACTACCTCCCAGTATTTAAACTCCTCTGTCACAACTCGCTAGTCTGTCTTGTCACCCTGATCGTCACTACCCATGTTTCCCTCCCTGGATTACCTGTTGTTCCCTTGTGTTTCCAGTTTGTTTTGTTTTTGGATTTTCTTCTATCCTTGGATTTTGGATTTTTTGTTGGTTGATTTTCTTCATTAAAACATCCACTTAGTGAGTGATGGGTAGATGAGGCGTCATGTATCGTTTCGACACAGAATCGACAAAACCGTGTCGATTCTGTGTCGATACTGTGTCACTCAATACTGACACCTGCTGGACATTAAACATTCCTACAGGCAACGTAGTGATTTGATGACCTAGTAGTCTATACAAGATTTAAGTCTTCGTATTTTATTGAATATTCTATATTGTATTATGTCATATCTTCAGTTACATTTAAAATATATTTGATATACAGTCAATAAATAATGTGAACATGTACCATAAAGTGAAAATTTAAGTGAATGTGTTTGAATGAGGATGCTTGTTGACTGTTTTTCCCCCCCACAGATTTTTATAAAAAATAAAAAAAAG